CTGCTATGGCTGTCTTGGATGGCAGCACCAGCCCTGCTCTGGCCTGGGACCTGCAGACCCCAGATCAACTCTCCCCTGGCTTTCATAGGATCTCTCCTCACCTCATACCCCATCCCACCATGAATCGGGCCCCGATCCTACACATACCGCCATCATGGGCTCTGGTGGACCCAGGCGGGCCAGATCACAAATGCCAACAACGAAGGCACGGCCGGCAGTAAGGTAATGACGCCCACTTTCCAGGAGGCCATTACCCAGCTTGAGGAGCTAGGAAGCAACAGGGGAATTGGGAGTCATGCCATGTGCCAACATAGTTGGTGGCAATCCCCACTCCTGTCCCATTTCCTGTCCCCTTCCTTTGGGCTGTCCCCTCTACTTAGTTGGTATAAACCCTACAGTATTTGCCATCTGGACTTGTCCCACTCTGTGCTTGTTGAAAATTCCCTCATAAACTTGATCAGTAGGCCACAGGATCAGAGTAGCGATTGCATGCTAGGGGGCTCCTAAGGCCCATTCTGTCTGGTCCCAATTGACAAACAAGGAGGCTTGATAAACAAGGGGCAAGTGACTAGCCTGAGGAGGGTTTCTCTGGGAGAGCCAGGTGGCTGAGCCAGAAGCCAGAGTGAAGTCTCCTGACCCCCAGCCCTTGTTCCCTGCAGGAACTGCATTGCCCCTGAGGTGACGCCATGTGGCTCTGGCCTGTGTCAGTGTACCTGGGACGGAGCAAGTGACTGTGGAGCCTGTCAGCTCAGCCCCGTGAACTTTTGTTAAATTGAAAACCACTTTTCAGAGCTAGTGAAGGCTTCAGGGAAATGGAGCTGGAGGTGGCTAGCAGGGTCAGTAATGGTCAGAAAACTGGGCACAATCAGACCTTATCAGATGTCCCTAGGGGGTGTCTGTGACAAGGCACAAGGACCCAGATGCTCACAACTCCACTGTGTGGCATTGGGGAACTGAGTGTCCAGTTTTTCCTTATCCACTCCCCTCTCCCCCTTTTATCTGAGTAAGGAACTTGCATAGGACTGAACTAGTGACGAACAGTATATGCGCACAACAGAACGGTTCACAGCAATGCAAAGGAATGAACTACTCATACATGAACTATTGATAATGAGCTACTGATACTATTAATACGCACAATTTGAATAACTTCAAGGATGTTATTCTGAGTGGGAGGAAAAAGCCAATCTTGAAAGGTCACATACTGTGTGATTCCACCTATACAACACTCTAGAACCGACAGAAGTAGAGAGCTGGAGAACAGATGGGTGGTCATCACGGATTAGAAGGGGGCAGGGAGGGTGTCATTAAAATGGGTAGTACAGAAGAAGAGTTCTTTGTGGTGATAGGAGTTTTGTGTTCTGAGTGTGATGCTGGTTATAAGAATCTATACACATGACAAAGTGTCATTGAATTATACACACAAAAAAATTGTTAAAGAGTATATGCAAAACAGGTAAAATCCATGTAAAAGTCTATAGGCAGTTCATTGCATTGTGCCAATACCAATTTTTTGGTCTTGGTAGTATACCATAGTTATGTATGATGCTGCCACTGGGGGCAGCTGGGTGATAGGCATGTGGGACCTCCCTATACTATGTTTGCAACTTCCTGTGAATCTATAATTATCTCCAAATAAAAAAGTTAAATTTAAAAAATATATGTAGACCCTGGCCGGATGGCTCAGTTGGTCAGAGTGTCGTCCTATGACACCAAGGTTATGGGTTCCATCTCCAGTCAGGGCACAAGCATGAATCAAGCAATGAATGCATAAATTTGTGGAACAACAAATCGATGTTTCTCTGTCTCTCCCCTTTCCTCTTTCTAAAATCAATAAATAAAATTTTTTAAAATGTATGTATATATTAGTTGGTCATCTTCTAACTTGCAGGCCATGGGAGAGCAAAACCAAAACATAAAAGTCCCTCATGACAATTATACTATAGTGAGGAGAAGTACATGAGAAAAAAATTAGCAAAAACAGCATGACAGACATATGCTTAGGTGACCCCCAATGATTCCTGCCCTTGTGTAATTCCTACTCCTAGAGTGTGAGTGAGACCCATGACCTGCTTCTAAGCTGTAGAATACGGCCAAGGCGACTGGATGGCACTCCCATGATTAGGTCACAACACTTGGCAAAGATGATTCGCTCCTGCGATCACGCTCCAATGCACTGACACCATCTTGCCAGCACACATGAGGGAGACCCTCCTGTTGGCCTTGAAGAAGCAAGTAAACTGCTATGAAGTAGGCAGTTTTGCTATGGCCTTGTCCATAGGCAGTTGCCTATGGACAAGGCCACATGGCAGGGGACTTGGTGGCCTCTAGGAGTTGAGGGCCTCAGTCCCAAAACCTGTGAGATTGGAAGAAAACCCTGAGCCTCAGGTAAGACTGTGGCCTCAACTAACATCTTGACTGCAGCCTGTGAGACCCTGAGCAAAGGACCAGCTAAGCTGTCTCCAACTCCTGCCCCACTGAGAGACTGTGATAGAAAATGTGTGTGAAGTTATTACATTTGTTCTAATTGTTACAGAGCAACAGAAAACTAATACAGCAAGTAAATATGTAACGTCAGATTGAGATGAACGCTGTAAGAAAAACAGAGCCAGTGAGAGGGCGCGGGTGTGTGTATGCTCACAGGCATGTGCTGTTTCACACGGGGTGGCCAGGAAGACCTCACTGCCTTGTGTTTAGGTGTCTTACTGGTCTGTCCTCCTCCACAGTCCATCTGTGGGCTCCTTGGGCAGAAATAATCTTGCTCTACCCAATAGCCCAGGGTTGGCATAATACAGGGCTCAAGAGCTGACAGGGTAAGTCCACAAATGAGACTTGTTTTCCAAGATCCCCAGCTCCTTGAGGGTACAGAACCACCTTTTTGCTTCTCTGTAGCCTCCAAACATCTACCCTACGTGATTAGCATTAGTCCCTGGGACTCATTCTCTGTCTCCAACTTTCTTCCTGGCTCTGCCCTTCTCATTTTAATCCAGTTCTGAGTCACCTTTTCCAGACGGGTCTCCAATTCTGACACTTCGGCTTCCACCAGCTCAATAGAGGCTCTGGGAAAGGAAGGATGGTGTAAAGGCAACAGAGTTTGGGTTCACCTGGTCTGTTCACCTTGGCAGGGTCAGGTCAGGGGTTGGGGTTAGTGGGTGGAGGGCATAGACAGAAAAAGCTGGTGGGTTAAAAAGGCCCACCCACCAGCCCTCTTCTGCTCACTCACTCCACAGTGTGGGAGCTACTATGGCCCAGGCTAGACCAGAGCAGGAAGGGTAGAAGAAGGGTGGATGTGGTGAGGGCAGGAAGTTGCTAACCGCCCAGAGTAGGTGCTGGGGGAAGGGCATGGGTCCCTGTGAGAGGAAAGATGGAATGCCAGCTCTGGGGGTGAGAGATTGGGAGCCCCCTCTGAGTTTGATAGCAGAGGTACTTCTTTGACCCACTAGTTGATCTTATCCATTTGAGACTTACTCCCTGCTAGGACATCTGGCCTGGGGAAGGGACTGTGTTGTGTATGTGTGTGTGTGTGCGCGCGCGTGTGTGTTGGGGGGTGTCAGACCACCTCTCCTCTGCCCCCCAAACCTGTACACACTTACCGGAAGCGGGGTGAGTCCTTAAGACACTCCTCAAAATCCAGCTTGACTGTCATCTCAGCTTGATCACTTCAGCCAGTGGTCCCTGGGGCCAGGCGGGTGGGGATGCAGGTGGAGGCACTCTCTGCCCCAGGAGGGGCGTTGATGAGGAAGGAGAAAAGGTTCTCTCCTCGGTAGAGCCTGAGGTGGTCGCAATTCTTTACCCCAAAGGGAAGGGGTGTCCTAGGAGAAGCTCTCACCCCACACTTCCAGGCAATGCTGGGAGGGGCAGAGGCGGGGCCTGGGCAGAGGAGAGGGGCCTGAGATCAGAGAAGCCGCAGCCACGCCCTCAGAGACTCTCCACTGGCACCTTCCTACTGGCGGCCAGACTCTTTCTGCTTCTTTCTCCTTTAGTGGTAGAGTTTTGGGAGCCTGGCAGATATGCGTTCAAATCCTGGCTCTGTCACTTAGAGATTGGATGACCCTGGGGAAGCTCTCTTATTCCTCAGCCCTGCCTCCAGGGTTGTAAGAGTTACAGTAAAATATTAGTGAATTTATGGTTGACTGAATCATGTCAATCATCATCACCCTGCTGCAGGTGGGCCTTTTCAGACCCCAATTGCCCAGACTACTCTGAGCTTTCTTCTCTGCTTTGGCTGCTCGTGGTTTCCTGTGTGTGAGCTTCCCTTCTCTTCTCCCTCCCCTCTCTTCAGTGACCGGGCAGGTCCCTCCTGGGCTCCCAATTCAAAGCACCCAGACTCCTGCTCTTCTCTTTATTTTCTACCCCTAGGGTGCTGAAGGCAGAGGAAGGTTGGCCCCCACCCCATGTCCAGCTGGCTACATTTTCTGTTGTTTGGCTTCCTCCTCCTGAGTCCATCAAAGCTTCAGGGATTCATCTGAAGAGAAGGGGTTAGGTGAGTGGTTTTCTTACAGTAGGCTTGAGATCTGGCTCACGCAACTCCCAGCCTCCCTAGAACCTACCTTTGCCCCCTCTCCCTCTGTGGCTAGTGCAGCAACCCCTTACCCCCTGCCCAGGCTCATAACTGCACTATTTTGATTTGGGGAGTTTGAGTTGCTTCTAGGTTCCCTCTCTGAGCTTTCTGGGCTTTGGCAGTTCAACCCCTTAGATACCAGACATTGACACCAGCCAAATACTGCTTGGGACCCACTTTTTAGGAAGATAGGAGTGGGGGAGGTGGAGGAGAGAAGTCAGGGAGGCTTGGGACCAGCAGATGGTGTCAAGCTGGAGGGGGTCCCAACAACTTCTGATCCTCCCTGGTTTCTCTCTGTACAAATGTGGGCCTTGCACATCAGGATGGTTAGGGCCCTAGCACCTGGTGCTGATCTACTGGTCTGAGAGGATTGGGGGTTGGGGGTTGGGAGCTTGCCAAGATCCAAGCCCAGTGACACGGTGTCCTGGTGCTCTCACCAAGCTGCAGTGGTGTCATTGTCACTGTCAGGGAGTTCTTGATGGCCTGTGATCCAGAAGTGGGCTTCCCGTGTGGTCCAGCAAACAGACCTCAGTTCTTATGGGATTCTCACTCATCCAATTTAGGCTTGCAGAACCTGGAAGCATCACAGAATCAGGGTTGGGGCACCTATCAGTCTCTTGGTTCTCAGCCCTCCCACTACCAGGCTGACCCAGCCCAGCACTCACTGTCTGGCTGCTCATCTTCCATGTCTTCCTCAAGCTCTGGGAGAGGACAGCATCTCAGGTATCTACCTTTGCTATAATACTCCTTTCGTTGCAGATCAACCTCTTTGCCCAATGTAATAATGGCAGAAGCTGGGGACTGATTTCTGAAGGTAGTGGAATCTGAGGAGTCACCCAAATTAATCTGAGTCTTATGGTCACCTAGGATGTCCAGGCCACTGTGAACCACCCCCCAACCACAGGGGAGAAGCTCAAGCCCCAGGTTCTGGTCTCACTTCTGTTACCTCCTCCCATTTTAGAAAACCTTTAGTGACATCTCTGTCCCCCACAGGTCTCTTGGGTTTTCTGTTCCTCCTCACCAGCCAGACTTCTCTGGGGACTATCCTGATGGGGAACTCACCCCAGCTGCCCCTCTGTCTTCCCTGGGGTCACCTCTCAGCATTACGTCCCCCTCAGGCAGAGGACCCTTGGCTAATCAATGCCAATTGAGAAAGACAGACTATGGTGGAGAAGGTTTTGGACTACAATTCCCTTGAGTCTCTGGGATCCCACCGTAGCTACTAACCCTTGGCTTCTAGGATGTGGTTCCTGGTCACCAGGCCAATCTCATCTTTGACTCCTCTGGCCAGTCCTCCTGCACAGCAGCCTCTTTCCACAGACTTTGACCCTGGGTCCAGTACCACACCTTGACTGCCACTTCCCAAACTTTCACTACCCTCACTGCTGTTCTTGTTATTACCAAAGGGTAGGTTTTTCTTAGTCTTGAAGACATTTCCTTCACTGTAGTGTGCCTTGCGGTGCTTCTCAAAATCACTGGAGTCTGTGGGCCAGTTTAAGAGCTCAGCTTTCCTACCATGCTCTTGCTGAAGGTTCACTCCACTTCCCCATCCATTCAGTTCCCAGCCCTCATCTCACGTGTTTTGAGAAAGTTGTCTGAAGACCCTGAGTTTCTGTCATCACTGCCCTGGAGGACCTTGGGCCACAAATTGTCTGTTGTTGCAAACCTGAAGGGGGGAGGGAGTCTACTTAGGGACACCAAAGGGAAAAAACAATGGGGGCAGGTGACAGATAGGGCCAAGCTGGCTGACTCTCCCACCTTGGCCTTGGCCTGCTGGGAAATATAGTATCCCCCCATTTGGTGGAGCCAAAAGCAGAGATGGCTCAGATCCCAGAGTTCAGGAGTGGAGGGAGGAAGATGCCCCACATTCCTACTGATCTCTGACAGGACTCTCACCTCTCTGCTAGTGCCTCAGGAGTCACTGTGTGGGAAGGCCCTGCGAGCAGGTTCTCATCACTGTCCTGCAGCCTGCACAGGTGGGAGGAAACAGTGCAGAGAGTGGGGCCATCAGGCACTATCCAGTCCCTGAGGCCTCTTTGCCTCTTCCCCTGCACTCCCCCTCCAGTCCATCCCCGCCTTTGAATAGGGAAGAGAGCGTGGGTTTAGGGGCTAGGCCACAGGCTCAGCACCTGTGGTAGGGAGTGCTGGGCTCATCCACCTTCATAGATCCGTAGTCCTTGTCAGCTGGGTGGTAGGTGGCCATGATATTCATTTCATCCCAGTGCTGAGACTTTCTCCTGTGGTGGGGGAAGGACACAAAAAAGGGGGGATGGGAAAGGGGAACCTTCTAGTGACCCCTTCTTTATAGTTCTCCCTAGTTCCTTCAGTCATTCAGAAACTTTTTCTTCTACTCCCTTGCAGTTCCAGAGGTGGAGGCTGGAGATGGGGGTCACACCTAATGATAACCATGTACTACGCAGTCACAATTTATCCTACCCGGTACCTGCTGCTTCCAAAGGCTAGGAACTTCACATTCCTTCCTCAATTGCCCTCACCCTACTGTTTTTGTTCTCAGGACCCCGCCCCTTTCGTCTCGGCCCCGCCCCCTCCAGTGTCCGGAACCCCTCCCTTAGTGCTCTTTGCGGCCTGCAAGCTGAACTGTGGTCCTCACTTTTCTGCATGGGGGGATTTATGCATCAGGGTGGAGCTGTTGGTTTTTAGGATGCTACGGGGCCGATCCTCATAGGGTTTGTGGGGGTGCAAGCAAGTTGACCCGGAGCTCAGACTGCATCCCGAGTTGTGCACTCCATGCCCCTCGGACTCAAAGCTGGACATCCTGGATACAGAGGTTTCAGGAAAAGGGGTATTAAATCCTCCAAGGCACGTGCCGGACGCTAGGATGTGGCCCACAATCTTCCCAGAATGCTGATTGGGCCTGGAACCGTGAACCGCTACCACTTCGGAGGGCCGGCTGGAACCAAGACTTCTAATTAAGATTCCCCCAGAGCATAAGGGGCGCCCAGAATCATGACACAAAACTACGTCGGAGGGCCAGCCGGCGCCTGCCTCGACTCCTCTGATGCCTCCTGGCACTACCCCGGTTGCCCCTCCAGGGGATTCCCCGTTGAGGCCGCCTGCTACCCCTAGAGATTACTGCTTCTCCATTGCCCCACCAGGGGGCACACTCTCAGCTACCCCGCCCCGCCTCTCAGCTCCACATAGCACCCTCCCGAGGCCCCGCCCCCACCGCAGCTAGACGGGGGACACGGAGCTGGGCGAGTCTAGGGTCCTGAGTCACGGTGGGCGGGATCCAGACTGCAAGGGGAACTCGGGCTGGGAGCCTTCCCCGGCCCTGCTTGCCCCTCCCTTTGTGTACCCACCCAAATCTTTGTCTCTGGTATTTGCTGCCGTACTTCTCCCAGCGTGACCCTTGTGACGTCAAAGTCATACAACCGTAGTGCGAGCGTGGGAGTTGGGCTGGTGGCTTGTTAATAACTCTGGGGGAATCTTTTGGGACCGTCAGCACCGTTATTTGAAACTGCCTGCCGGAGGTTCTTTGTACCTTTTATTCGTGGCTTTAAAATCTAAATTTGATGGGATTGGAGTTCAAAGCCCTCTTGTACTAAACTACGTCCCCTCTGCCTCCCCCGAGAGGTGTGATACAAAGTGGTGGGATTGCGACACTGTCGCAAGACATTTGGTCACGATGCGGAGGAAACAGGTTTCTATTTATAAAGTTACCAGTTTCCACTCACACAGCTTCGAAGCCTGCAGCGAGAAGACACCTCCTCTGGCCGTAAAGTGAATACTTCAAGGGGTCGCCAGCCTCTACGAGGGCGGGGTCGTCGGTAGCACTATTGCAAAGCTGAAAACGTTTTAGGCGCGAGCACGCCCCCTTCCGTCTTAAAGATGGCTGCGGCAGTCTTTTCTTTCACTGTCGCAAAAACTCCCTGCCCAAGTCTTCACCCATCTCGGAGCCACTGTCACCTCGTCGTGCCGTAAAGCAAACCTTCCCGACCCCATCGTCCTTCTGTTCCCATCGTGATAGTCGTTAATTCCTTAGCCCGGGATGCTTCAGTGCCCGGCAGTGCCGTAAAGCATATCTGGCCCCAGCCCTGGGTCTTCTTCCCTTAGGGTGTTTGGGCACCGAGGTTGCTACGGTGCCGCCTAACGCGGTTGCCGCGCGGCCCCGGCGTCAGCGGCGATGGCGGCGGGGTCGGGTGGGAGTGGGGGATCTGGGGGAGGCCCCGGGCCGGGGCCTGGGGGTGGTGGAGGCCCCAGCGGCAGCGGCCCGGGACCGGGGTCTGGCGTGAGTTTGGGCAGCGGCGGAGAGCTGCACCCGCGCACTGGGCGCTTGGTGAGCCTGTCGACCTGTGGGCGTACAGCGCGGCGGCAGCAACCAGGCCAGGAGTTTAACCACGGGCTGGTGTTGAGTCGGGAACCCTTGCGCGACGGACGCGTCTTCACTGTCCGCATCGACCGCAAGGTGCGAAGCTGGGGATGCACAACCAAGATGTGGAGGATGGGAGGAGACCAAAGGGAGACGGGGTAGGATAGACAGCGTAGTCCACATCATCAGGTACCAAAGGGGAACTGACAGACTTAGGACAGCAGGTGACGGACAGGAAGGGAGCATGAAATAGAAACATTCAGCCTGAAGAACAAGGAGAGCTCGAATTTCTTTAAGTTCCAGGAGCAGGTAAGGGACATGGGACCTCATGCTGTAGAACTACTAGGGAACAGACCTGGAACCATTTCTGGGAGATGGAGGATGGAGAAATGTCAAATATATGATGGGCAGAGAAGAAAGATAATAACTTAGGAAAGAACAAACCTTTGAAGGACAGACTCACGGTTGGGTGGGAAAAATGGTTAAGGAGAGCTACTCGGAGAGGGAGGTTTGTGTGCTTGTGTGTGATTTACTGAAGAGGACAGTGAATCTGAGTGGAGCCAGAGTTTAGGAGAGAATTGGGCCAGCAAAAAGAGAGTGATATACAAGAACAAGGAATATAGGCATAGAGAGCTGTGAATTTGGGCGGTTGAGAAGCCACAGAGACCAACAAAGTTAGAGGAGGCAGGGAGCTGGAGCCAGGGAATTTAGCCAGCATGAAAGGGAAAGGACAGATGTAGACACTGAGCATTCAGAGTAAAGAGCACAGTTGCCAGGGACAGTGGACCAAACAATTCCTGAGATTGAGTGCAGAAAATTACCTGTAGGACTGCACCTCTGGATTAGCGTCTCATGTCTCAAAAGAGAAAAGTCAGTTAAGCTGTCTGAGAGGTGGGGGGAGGAGGACACAGTGGCCTATGAATTTTGGTTTCCTAGTGGTGGGAGACCCATTGGTGGCCCATCCTGAGCCTCTGTCCACCACCCCTATCACAGGTCAACTCCTGGAGTGGCTCCATTGAAATTGGGGTGACGGCACTGGACCCCAGTGTGCTGGACTTCCCAAGCAGCGCCACAGGGCTGAAGGGGGGTTCATGGGTAGTGTCGGGCTGCTCGGTGCTGAGGGATGGACGTTCTGTGCTGGAGGAGTATGGTCAGGACCTGGACCAGCTTGGTGAAGGGGACCGTGTGGGCGTGGAGCGCACAGTTGCTGGGGAACTGCGGCTGTGGGTGAATGGGCGAGATTGTGGTGTGGCTGCCACAGGCCTGCCTGCTCGTGTCTGGGCTGTTGTGGACCTTTATGGCAAGTGCACCCAAATCACTGTGCTACCTCCTGAGCCAGGCTTCAGCCCTCCTACTCCCATCCCTACACCTCCCCTTGAGCTCTCCGCTCCCCCTGAAGATTCTGCTTTGGCTGAACAGGGGACCTCTAGGGATGAAGGTGAGAACACAGCTAGGGCAGTGGTGGAGGGGTGGGGTAGAGGGGATGGCTGAAGGGAAATGTAGTGATCAGCGAGGCTGGGTGTGGGCAGGGCCACTCAGACCCCTGAGTCTGTTGAAGGGGAGAGTGAGGGCTAGAGGAGGGGCTCTCCTGGCTGTGGGCCCTGCAGCAGGTGCTGAACCCTTATTCCCCTCCCATCCTGCCTGGTCCCCAGCCTTCATGGTGCCCCCAGCACAGGCCCGGCCGGAGACGTTTCCTAACAGCCTTGAATCGCATAATGGTGAGGGCTTCTGGGAGGCCCTGGGAAGGGGAGTGGGAAGTGAGGTGGACAAGGGAGGGGCCTCAGGAGAGGGGTAGGGAGACGACTGCAAACCTGCAGGTGTAGAGCCTCATTTCAGCTTCCTTCCCTTATCCTGCTGCTGTAGACTTTGCCAGCATGGAGCTCTCTGAGGTGGTGAGTAATGCCATCCTGTCTGCTTATAATGGGGGGCTCCTAAATGTGAATCTGAGCTCCCCACCAGCAGGGGAAGGACTAGGGTCTAGCTGTGCTGCCACCTCGCCCATCCTTACTTCCAACGACGCCCTGCTCTTCCATGAGAAGTGTGGAACTCTCATCAAACTCAGCAACAACAATAAGACGGCTGAGCGTCGCCGGCCCCTGGATGAGTTCAACAATGGGGTTGTCATGACCAACCGCCCACTCCGGGACAATGAGATGTTTGAGGTGTGCAAGATCCTAGGGTCTAGCTGACACCTCACCCTCTGGGAACTGAAAGGGCTTGATCCTCGCTACTGGAAGGTTGGGGACTGGGGAAGGACCAAGGGCTGTGGCTCTTTCCTCTGCATTTACATGCCCACTTCTCCCTTCTGCTAATACCCCACCCCAGATCCGCATCGATAAGCTCGTAGATAAGTGGTCAGGCTCCATTGAGATTGGTGTCACTACCCACAACCCCAACAATTTGGAATACCCAGCCACCATGACCAATCTGCAGTCAGGTACCAGCTATTGGTGGGGTGGGGGCACATGCCTGGGCTCACTGAAGTGAAGGAAGCTTGTACCCTAACCAGGGTGTGTGCTTTCCCCTAGGCACCATCATGATGAGCGGCTGTGGAATACTAACCAATGGCAAGGGCACCCGCAGGGAGTACTGTGAATTCAGTCTGGATGAACTGCAGGTGAGGGTGAGACACAGCTTGGGCCACTCTCCAGGGGAGTCCCAGGATACTACATCCCTGCCTGGGCACCATGGTCTAGAGCAAGCCCCTTTATCTTTTGCCTGAAGATTCCTTCTAAGAAGGCAAGGTTGTCCAACAGTTAGGCACTCAGATCTTTGGAGTCAGATGTGTTGTGGTTAGTGACCTGAGGTGATAAGCTTACCCTCTTTGGTACTTTTTTTGTTCTTTTCCTTAAACGTCTAAAGTGAGCATGTTAGTTGTGTTTTAGAGATAGTTGTAAAGTTTAAACAAATTGATGGTTATAGGGTGACTCACTGCAGTGCCTGACTTGCATTAAACATTCAGGGTGGTCTTAAGACTCACAGGAGCTGTTCGAAGCTGTTCCCCTGTGATGTGGGGTGGTCAGAAGGCTCTAGGACTGCCTGTTCTCATGGTTCCTGCAAATGTCTGGAGCCTAATTGTAGATGAATTCCAGACTGTCATTTTTCTGTTTTGAACAGGAGGGTGATCACATTGGTCTCACGAGGAAGTCCAATTCTGCCCTCCACTTCTTCATTAATGGCATTGATCAGGGTAAGGGGAAGTTCAGAGAAGGCTTTGGGGACAGGGTGGTATGTACCTCATCCTCCTGTCTCTTTGTTACTCGATCTCCCTGTATTTGATTCTTCTCCCCTCAGCCCCCTATTCCTGTGCTTTCCACCCCTATAGGCGTGGCTACCCCATTGACACCTCCAGTGGTATATGGTGTAGTGGACTTGTATGGGATGGCAGTGAAGGTGACCATCGTCCACAATAACAACCACAGTGACCGTTTACGCCGGAATAATGCCATCTTGCGGGCGCTGTCTCCTGAGGGTGCTCTCCGCCGTGCTGCTCCTGCTGCCCAGGCAGAACCTGAGCGCCTGCTCTTCCATCCCAACTGTGGGCAGAAGGCAGCCATTACCCACGAGGGACGCACTGCTCTGAGGCCCCAGTATGGCCCATGGGGTGGGGAGAAGCCTGCAGAAGGGACTCTAATGGAATCGGGGGAAGAGGTGGGGAAATGGGAGCTAGAGTGAGTCTGATCCGGGATGTCTTAGACAGAAAAGGGGTGAGCCTTCTGAGTGTGATATTTATCTGGTTGATTTGGACTGAGATCTGGCACGTTTGGAGCTTGTGTTAGAGGTCT